TGAAACTAATATAATTATATGTCAACTGCAATTGAAAAATAAAAAATTATTTAAAAGAAAGAAGTGGCCTTTTAGTTGATTGGGTAAACAATGGCCAGAGGTGGGGAGCATTTTTATTTCTGTTTTTCCTGGTGCAGAAAAAAGGAAGGAGAAAAAAATCCCAGGTCCCTGTTAGAATGTGTCACACAGAGAGAGATAGGCCAAAATGGCAGCCTTGACACCTGCTTTCCCAGTCTTGATAGTCCCAAGAGTGCTTCCCTGGCACTAGTTGAACTAAAACATCACTTAAATTGCTGTGACCAGGCTGCTTGGGAGTACCTCCAGGCACAACAGTGCCTAAAGCTGTGCTCACCCAGTTATTTTACTGCAAAGGCTCACAGGGAAGGATATATAAGCCTTTGATGTGTAAATATTCAGGGGTCTTCAAAGAATCTCAGCTTTAGTTCCTTCCATTCACTTTGAACCCAGGAAGGAGAATCCTAGTCTATATTCATAGGGAAGGAGATAATTTCACAGTGACCCTCACTCAGCAAACCGTTGTCTTACTTCAGGAAGTTGTGTCCTTGTGTCTATATAACAATACTAACCTCTAGGTTTTTGCTTCACACACAAAGGTCTAAATACTTTCTTGTTACACGAGTTCAAGAAGTTGTATTTCTAAGAGGTCAAAGCAAGACGCCCAGAGTAAGCAGTGGAACCAGCCTGTGCTCCTTCACAGATTTTGCACCGAAATCCCTCATTTGAAAATTTCAAACTAAATCCCTCATTCAATGTGTCTTCTTGAAAAGTATAGAAAACAGAATTTGGCTCCTGAACTGTTTAACATTACTCCTCACTTGAGCATCCCCTGGGGAGGGACAGTGTTGGTTTAGGGAGGGTTAAAGCAGGGCCGAGCTGTGAAGGAAGTGAGGACTTGGGCAACTCAGTCTTTCGGTCCCAGTTCTCACTGCCATGCCTGACCAGAGACCTAAAACACCAGTTTCTCTCCTCTCTTCCTAAGGGAGGGATCAGATGTGGCAGAAAAAGTCAGAGAACCTGAATCTGACTCTAAACCTTACAAACTGTGAAACTTTGGGCAAGTCCTGTAATCTTCCTTTCTGAGTCTCAATTCTCAAAATCTGTAAAATAGAGGTGTCAATAACGCCTGCTTTGGTCCTCTTCAAAGGCTTGCTGTGAGGTGAGATCTGATAGATAATACTGCTACAATGCTTTGCAAATGTAAATCACTGCTACACAAAAATAAGATACTACTATTTCCAAAACCTCCACTTTGAATTTAGTTTCTTATTCTATGTTCTGGGCGCATATGTATTTTAAACCTCATAAATGATCCTGGACTTCGCCTTCAGTAAAGGAATTTTTGGCAACAGCGGGAGAAAGAGTTATTTCTTTGGGGCAGTGGGGTATTTCTCTCTTACCCTGGCTGGTGAAGAAAATGGTAGTGACTTGACTAAAGTGATGTGGAAGGCAGAATAAAGTTCACTAGTCCAAGTGTTGGAAGGTTCCTTTTCTGCTTCAGTGACTCAGAGGTCTGGTTGCGACTCAGAGTTCAGCTTTGAAAGGGCGGTGGTACGAAAAGTTCTGAAATTCAACTACATTGGCCTCTTAACCATGCCTCAATCCTCACCACAGGCAAAAGGGGGTGTCACCCCTCCTCGTCCTTCATATCCATTCATCCTGTAAATATCACAGAGCACCCACCATGTGCCAGGATTATGCTGGGCAATGGGAACATGGATGTGGGCAAGATAAACCTGGTGTTGACCTCCTGTTGCTTGAAGTTTAAGAGGAAGATGAGGTTAAATAAGTAGTGTGACCAGAGACTATCAAAGACTGCAGGGGTCTTAGAGCCTTAAAGCCAGGGAATGTAAGCTGGGCTAGGTGCAAAGGGAGGCCTCTTGGAACCTGAAGGATGAATAGAAGTTGTCAGGCCACGGGCTGGGGGGAGGGTAAGCAGAGAAATTTAGGGAAGGCCAAGAGAGGAGAGAGGACAGAAAGAAATCCAGTCAGGATTTTGGGATCTATTGCCCCCTCTCTTCATGGCTGGCCTTGTTGCTATTTTAAAATTGACTCCATCTGGATAAAAATGTGGAACACTCTGACCTCTGGGTGGTTTCTCCCTAGCCCCATCTCTAGCTCTGGCTCAGGATGGCCTATGATGGGCAGGGCCAGAGGAAGGCAATTCGAAGTCTGACCAGAGTCTCAAGACCTTTTTATACACAGCTGTAAGTTCAGTATTCAATCCCTGTGCATGTTGATTTTCCTTGTAAAGTTGGGCAGCATCAAGAACAAGGCCATGCAGATTGGGGAAGAGGGGGGATGGGGCACTGCCTTCTGTCTGCCTACATTCCCACACCAAGCTTCATGTTACTTTTGGAGGAAGTGGTGGCTTGTTTACAACCCAGATCTGGTTTTCAAGCTAAGAGGAACACTCAGCTCAATTGCACAATTCAGCTCCAACCCCTGTCCTGGGTGGCCTCTCCTGTGGCTGCTGCGATATCATGCTCACATGGAGTGTCCTGAAGGGGGTGGGGAATGATCAGGGCTGCAAGGTGTCTTTTCATTTCATATGTGAAGAAACCAATGCCCAGAGAGGAAAGATAACTAGGACAAAAATCACACAGTAACTTGGAGGCAAAGCCAGGACTAAAATCCATGTCTCCAATGCCACCTACATACAATACTCCTATCTGGGGCCTTCACAATTTGTTCAGCGATTTTACCTTATATACATGATCTCATCTGCTACTGTCAGCAATCCTGTGTGATAAGTTTATTTTGCAGATGAAAAAACTGAAAACTTGGAGAGTTTATTTGGCTAAGTCCCCCAAGTTACAAAGTGGATCTTCTGACTCAAAACGCAGTGAGCTTTCCACCATGCCATGTGTTTATAAGGTACACACAGTCTCGGAGTTTGCCAATTATCCACCTGAGAGCGTCTTGGAATGTAGATAATGAATACAGAGGAGGGCTTTCAAGGAGTC